CTCTTTCTCTCTCAAAAATAAACATTAAAAACATTTTCTAAACGAAAACAGAAAAACAAGAAAGAGTTATGTTGATATAAAAAGTACTATGTAAAAAATTTCTCCTACATAAACTGTTAAAGAAAACTATAGAAAACTCTATAGTATAACCCATTGCTATTTTTTTTTTTTACATTTATTTATTTTTGGGAGTCAGTGACAGAGAACAAGTGGGGGAGGGGCAGAGAGAGAGAGGGAGATACAGAAACCAAAGCAGGCTTCAGGCTTCCAGCTGTCAGCACAGAGCCTGATGCAGGGCTCGAACTCACAAACCCTGAGATCATGACCTGAGCCAAAGTTGGAGGCTTAAATGACTGAGCCACCCAGGTACCCCCCATTGCTATTTTAAAAGGGATTGTGTTAGTATGTGCTTATCTGTGCGCATGGGGGTTATATCTCAAAGAAATAATCTGCTGGCTTTTGCATGTGTATTTATCTCCTTCTGTCTTTATTACAGGTACCCAAGGGCTGGGCTGAACAGTTTTTCTTTCTTCAGTCCACACCTAAGCAGGAACAAAGATTCAAAACCCCTCACAAGACAAAATTTCTATTCGGTGTATTTGCAGAACCAGTTTTTCTTCCCCCAGAGGCAAAATAAATCTGTGACTACAGAAAGAAAAGAAGAAAACAAGGGCTAGGGGTGGGGGCGTGGTCAGGAGGAAAAGGACTGGGAAGATAGATGAGGAATCACTGACATGAGAGGGAGGAAGAGAAGTGTCCAGGAGACCAGGGAAATGATGAGCTCACATCAGGTGTGGTTTACTCAGCACCTCTCAAACTGAAGTCCATCTCAATTGGGTCAGCAGTCCTGGGCACTTCTTAAACTCATGAACAGACAAGGGATAAGCAGTTAGGATGAGCTAGGTTATGCTGCAGTGATAAACATCCCCCAATCTCAGTAGCCTAAACAATAAAAGTTAACTATGCACACACTACATGCCCATATACGGTTGGCCGGGGGCTAGCCCTCCTCCATATTATTGTTATATCAGGACCCAGGCTAAAAGAATACTGCCAGGTACCAAAACAGAAATGGAAATGGAAATGGAAAATGCAAGAAATTGTGCACTGGCTCTTGAAGCTTTACCCTAGAAGTAGCATACATCATTTCAACCCACATTTTATTGACCAACACAAGTCCTGTGGTCACATCTAACTCCAAGGGGACAGGAAAATGCCATCTTACCATGTGGTCAGAAAGAGAGCTAGAGATAGATAATGAACGATAGGCATGACCACCACAGTAGAGGACTCAGACCCCTGGTCTGGGGGTGGAGATATGAGAAGAGAACTGCTTCCCATCAACAAGGAGAACTGAACAGGTTGTGATTCAGGAAGTAAGCAAAGAAACTGATTGCCCTGGAAATGGGGAGTGTGGAGTAAGAAATGTTGACTTTCACTTTATACCCTTTGTAATGTTTGAAGTTTTAACCATGACATTCATTTGTGTGGATTAATTTATGAGACTCAGGTTACCCCATTCCCAGTATTCTGCAGAAGACAGTGTAAATGGCCAAAGGAAGTTCAAAGAATTGAGTGCTTATGACTGGGAGTAGCCAGGCTCTGCCCCAAACTGAAACATCCAGACGCTGTTGGGTTGACCTAGGGTTAAAGAACATTGCCCTTTCCCCCCACCCCCCAATCCCGTCCCAGGAACCCAGCCAACATCTGCCCCACACATTTCCTGGAACTTATTGCTTCTCTAGAGGGAACAGCAAGGACTCCGACCCTGGACCCCAAGACTCAGAACATTTTTTTTCCCAATCCAAAGGCCAGCATCATGACAATTACTATGCCATCTTTGATTATAGAAGATAAGTAACAATGGAAGAAATCATGCTCATGACTCAGAGCAAGGAAGTCCAATATATTCATTTCTAAAGAAATCTCAGATTTCTAGGGCACCTGGGTGGCTCAATTAGTTGGGCATCTGACTTCAGCTCAGGTCATGATCTTACAGTTCATGGGTTCAAGCACCAAGTCGGGCTCTGTGTTGACAGCTCAGAGCCTGGAGTCTGCTTTGGATTCTGTGTCTCCCTCTCTTTCTGCCTCTCCCCTGCTTACACTCTGTCTCTGTCTCTGTCTCTCTCAAAAATAAACATTAAAAAATAATTTAAAAAAAGAAATCTCTAATTTCCATCTAAGATCATTCCCTACTACTATTCTGGGGGCCCAGGACAGGGTCTGGGGTATAACAGAAGTTCAGGGAAGAAGTCCTGGGAAATTGCAAGGAGCAGGAAGCTGCCTTCTCAGAGCCTGGCTTTGAGGACGCTTTGCACCATCACAATAGGATTGTGAGCCAAAACGCAGGTGACTCTGGGGGAAGAATGGGAAGACTGAGTCACAAGCAGAGACACGGCCTAACTGGAGTGCTTGACCCAAGGCCAAGCCTGTGGTAGTTCAGCCCCCCTCTCTGCTTTCCACCCCTAGGCATGTATCCACTGCCAGCTGGACAGGACTGCTCAAGACTTGGGAGGTATCCCTCCTACTTAGAGAACCTTCTCAGGTTCTGGAAGCCCAGGGCAGAGCAGACACTATGGGAAGACAGACATGCATGCAAATCCTAAAAAATAGAAATGTGCTGCATTCCCTCATTGTTCAACAGATATTTCATCATTTTGTTTCACCAAATGTTATTGGTCATCAAGGAGTCCAGGAGCATGATAGGAAATGATAGGAAATATGTCTAAGAACTAACCTTTACCCTCACCAAACCCACAACCAAGGAGAGAGCACGACACACAACCGAGCAATAGAGCGCATGGTCCAGTGAGGCTCATGAGAGACAAAGGCACAGTTTGGTGGGACCCAGAAGAAGAAAGTGATATGGAGAACAAAGAGAAAAGAAGTATGGGGGAAATTTTAAATATCTTTATAGCTTGCAGCCTATTGACAATTTCCTGGGGCAGGCAGAGTGACCTTCCTCCAGGAACTCAGCTGCCTCAATGTTAATACATTGTTAGAGGCAAAAGGAAACCTTAGCTTAACTTTAGCCTGAAGTCCAGGATCCTGTAAGTCTTCTTTAACATAAGAAAATCCTTTGGAAACTTTCTTTACCTGTACCCCCCACCCCCACCCCTGACCCCATAAGATGTGTGTTAGCAATCATCCTCCAAATATATGGCCCACGGATATATACCTGAAGGGTCTCATGTCTAAGGTTTCACTAGACAGTAGTAAACGATGCACCTCAGGGTCTTAGAAACCTTGCTTCCAAATTCCTTAGAGACTTACACTATCCGTAACCCCCTCTCAACTTGAAAGTATATAATCAATCACTCTTCATAACCCCAGTGCAGCTCTTTCTGCCCATGGATCCTGTCCCCGTGCTTTAATAAAACCACCTTTTTTGCACCAAAGACATCTTAAGACTTCTTTCTTGACCATTTGCTTCTGGACCCCAATGTTTCACATCAGAAAGAACTAATACCTGTTGAAGGTGTTCAGTGCTTTTCCTGAGGACTTTCAGCCTGATCCATGGCCTCCTTTAACAAGGAACAGGATAGAACCAGCTTCTTGTAATTTTCTTTTCTCTAAAGTAGGCTGTGCTGCTGGGGGAAGGGGTATGAAGATTCTCCTAGAATTTCAGGAACAGCACTGATAAAGAGTTCACAGTTCAGAAGTGTGATATCACAAAAAATAAATATTAAGTCTTTGTTCCCAGTTCCTGGCACACAACTCCCAAAGTCTTGGAGTCTCGGGGGTGATGGCTATCTTTTGTATGCTAATGAGATGACTGGTGAGTGGGGGCCCCAGAGAGCTTCTGGGAGGGGGCTGGTCTCCAGGAAGTTCAAGACAGATGAGAGGGTTGGGACTTTCAACTCCACCTCCACCCCTGACCTCTGGGGAGGCTCAAGCGGCTAGAGATTGAATTCAATCACCATGGTCAATGATTAATCCACCTACATCATGGAACCTCCATAAAAACCTCTAAATGACAGATTTCAGAGTGCTTCCAGGTTGGTGAACACATCAAGGTGTCAGAAGGGTGAAACACCCAAAGACACCATAGTATAGAAGTGCCACATGCCTTCCCCCATGCCTTGCCTCATGCATCTCTTCCAATGGACCCTCCTGAGTTATATTCTTTGCAATGAACTACTGATAGTCAAGTGTTTTCTAGAGTCCTGTAGGTCATTCTAGCAAGTGATCAACCATAAAGGGAGGGGCTGTAGCCAAGTTGAGCAGAAGCATGGGTGATTGAGGGACCCAGTAGTTGTGACTGGTGTCTGCACCTTGTGCCTGAGACCTTTAGCTTTGGGGGTCTGCATTAACTCAGCGTCAGAATTGAATGGAATCATTGGATACCCACTTGGTGTCACAAAAAAAGAGAATTGGTTGATGGGAGAATAAAACTTAACAGAAAGAGCTTGTAGGTGCCTATTGGATACCCAGTTGGTGTCACAAAAAATGAGAATTGGTTGATGGGAGAATAAAACTTAACAGAAAGAGCTTGTAGGTGCCTATTCTGTGTTTGTGCGATAAAAGGAAAGCCCTAAACAGGTGTCTAGGTGCAGCTGCAGAGGAGAGGTGCTGAGTGGTGTTCAAGTCCCCTCCCCCATGGACTCAGGAGCTGCACCCCCAGCCTTTCTAAGGCACTGCCATCATCCCTCCTATTCCACATTCTCACCTCGGCAGCCAGCTATCTCTACCCCCTTGCCTCTATATAGTCCTGTAACCACATTAGCCTTCTGGGGTCTGTTCTAACTTTTCATCCTTTCCTCTAGAAATTTGACTGCCCTCTCTTTTACCCAAAGCCAATAAAATCCCTCCCTCCCAGAGATCTCTTATTTCTTTCTCTGTTCAAGCCAGTTGGTGGTTTTAAACAGAAACTAAAGTATCATCTCTTCCTGAACAAGGTTTGTCAGACATAAAGCTTTTCTGTTTGCAGGAAATGAGAACTCATTTGAACTCACCTGAGCTGAAATTAGAAATTTATTATAAGATATCAGGTTGTCCTTGATGATCAAAAAGAAGGAAGAACAGCTAGATGGCAGTTGGGCCATAGAAGGACAGAAACCAGAACTAAAAAAGAGCCAGGGATCCAGGCTGCTACCTCTCAGGTCATTCCCTCAGCTCTCAGGGACCACTTAATTCTCAACATCATTTCACTGTGTATCTTCAATCTTCTCTCCACAGGAACTTTCTCTGCTTCTCTGCCTGATAACGGAAGATGGTCTCATATAGAGCCCAAGATTTACAAATCCTCAGGTTAGGCAACCATCAGAATTCTAACTCCAAAATCCCCAAAGGAGGGAATGTATTTCATACTCCCCACCTGGAATATTAAATAGCCATACCCAGAGAGGCAGCCGTGTAATATCAATGTGGCTGCGAGATCTACCTGCACTGAAGGAGCAGTCCTCAGAGAAGGGGGGATGCTGTCCTGGCTGGATGCTCCCAAATCTTCACAACAGCTGTATTTAGCATTCCAGTTGCTCATTAGAATTATGTACAGTCAACCTACAGAGAAGCTTGCAAAGGCCACTTGTGTGGGGATAAAGGTGTCTGTAGCAAGGAGGGCAGTGCACACCTGTCCTGTCCTTTAGTCAACATTTTTAGCGGTTGGAGCAACTTCCAAGAGCAGTTGGAGATACAAGGTGGCCATCTGCAAACACTTGGGCTGGCACTGGCAGTAGACAAACAGGAAATAGACCGGGATGCCACTGAGTAGGAACAGAAAGATGTACAGGAACTCAATCTGGGGGTGGTCGATGACAGGAGCCAGCACCAGGTAGAGAGAAGCAAGGAGCATGATGACAGGGACGATGGTGGGGACCTGCAATGGACACAGAGACCTGGATGATGGAGAAGCATGGAGTGTGGTATATGGCCCTTGGGCTCTGTCCCTCCTGCCCGCTTGCCTGTTGCTCTCACTTGGCATTGGCTTCTCTCTTCCAGTCACTGCCACCCTACCTTGCCTGGCCAGGGAAGCCATTTACAAGGTTACAAGGGGCCATCCAAGGAACGAGGGCTTTGGGACCCAGGCTAATCCTCTCCATGAATCCTACTAGATGTGTGCATCCTCTCTGCATTTGTCTCCTATTGTTCTCCCTCAGGGTCCTCCAGAGGAGAAATGAGTCCCCAGTCAACAGGATCAATGCCTTGTGATCCAGATGTCCCTCATCCCCAGGAAATATAGAAATTTTCTACCAAATATGACATTCTTTCTCTAGGCCCCAAGTGAGACTGTGGTCCAATGATCTGCTTCATGCAAGAGCCTAGGGTTACAAAAAGCCCAATGTTTATTCCAAAGACTACCTTGTAAGGTCGAGGAAGATTCTTCTTCTTTATTCGCAAGTACAAGAGGCAGCCAATGGTGGTTCCATAGGTGATCCAGCCAAGGAAGCTGAAAGGCAGACATGAGCCACTTACTCTGAGGCCCTGCCCTGGGTGGGCCTGCAAGCGGGGCTGGCCTACTAGGTAAAAACCCGGGGCAGGAGTACAAGCTCATCAGGGACCTTTCAGCTACCTCCAGGTGCCCTTGTCCATGCAGACTAAGGAAAGAAGAAGGCAGGCTGGTGCACCAAGGACAGGAGTGCACTGGAGGATATTCCTGTCTCCCTCATCTTCAGTCACAAAGTGACTCACACACAAGCCCAGGCACTCACTTGGCTCCACATTGGACCTTCTTTGACTGCCCCTGGCTGGACAGAAAAGGACAATTTTTCAAAGAGAGGAGGAGCATTTGTGTGTCTAAAAACAGGAGTCTGGTAGAATGTCAAGGAAGCCTATGCTCTCCTCAAGGACTAGCACACTCACAGCAGATGCTCCTACCTTAGAGTGGGTGACAGGATAGGCCACTGAACACCCAGACAAGCCCCTGGCCTCTGTCTGCCCCACTGTGGGTCATTGAGTGGCTGATCTAGGTCCAGTGAAAGTCTCATCTGACCTTGGAGATGGGATCCAGGCCAGGCCATCTCTTGAGGCAGTCAAGACTGGGGGACATGGGGTCCTTGTTAGGATGGATCATCCGCAACATTCTCATTCTGTGCCAGAACATTCTCAGTCACATTCTCAAATCTCAGCCCAAAGAAACCCTAGGCTCACCATGGTTTGATATTTTTCTCATCATATAACGATTTTATCCTTTCTAATGGGAAAAAGATAAAAAGAAAACCAGATCTGTTACTTAATGTTCTGAAGAAAGTCACATCAAGCACTATATACCCCGTTCCAGAAGATTAATTATACTTATGACAACAAAGAAGAGAACACGCGATGCCTGAGAAATTACTCTGAGAGCTCCCTTGGCACCCAGACGCCGCACTTGCCTATAAGTGTAAAGACGTACCCGTGAAACCTGTTTCAGATGAGCCCATAAAACCACGACTGGATGGCACAACAGCCCATTATTTCTGCCCCAGGGAAGGTAATAAAGGGGGTCAGAACATCTCCCCATTTTGATGCAATCTCTGATTATACCTACCCAACTTGGTTGTGGGTCTGCCCTGGGCTCAATCAAGATATGCTGGGTCAGAGTCCTGAGCACAGATCAGACTGCAAAGGGAAAATCACACTGCACCCATGGCGACAAGGTGTGAGCCTGAAGATAGCTTTAATGTGATCTCAGCAACAGAATAAAGGAACGAGGAAGAATAAAAAATGACAAAGACAACACAAGCCTTTAACTTGCCTGCTTCTTGGTGAAACATTTGTCTCATTGAATTTTTGGAAACAGGACAAGAGAGGAGGGAGCCACATTTAATTTTGGAAACATAACTGGGAGAGAATGGCTGAAATGTGTGTGCATGTGCAAGAGCTCTGGGCTCAGGTTTCCAGAAGGGTGCATGTGTATCTTTATGTGTGATAGTTATACCTAGGGGCTTCCAGAAGTGTGCACACACATATTTATATACACACATGCATGTGTGTAAGTGTGCACACAGAGGGGACTTCTATATACACATGAGTGTATGTGAGTGTGTGCACAAAGGGGCCATGAGATACCCAGCACGGGAGGGCAGTCTCACTTGCCTCAAGAAGTTCACAATGGTGCCGAAGCTTCCTGGGATGACCAGGATCAAAGCCACTGCCGAGGTAAACATCAGGGCCGGAGTCGGTGTGAGGCGATGCACATGAACCATGGACAGAAGTTGGGGCTGGGAGCAAAGCCAGGTGTCAGACAACCCCCTCAAGGGAGCCACAGTAGGTTTCTGCCCTGGGAAGCTCCCAGCCCTCTTCCCCGGCCAAACTCACTCTGGACACCAGTGCCCCCAACCAATAGTTCCCAGGCCCCACTGCTTCCAGACGCACGTCTCTGTGGCTCACCTGGGGTGAAACCAGGCCCAGCGTACAGCTTGGGAGGCCAATCGCTCCATAGACCCAAATAGCTCAGGATGTGGGCTAGAGTATAGAAAGCTGACACAGGTGTCTGGCCAGGGTGTTCAATTTTCGATTGCTCATCCCCAAAACAGGAAGAGGGACCGGGGTGGGAAGACAGAGGATGGGGGAGGAGAGGGTGGGATGGTTACAGATGGAGCATGGAATGGGTCATGGATTATGGTAGTAGACTGTATTCCTACTCAGCAAATAGTCTCGCTCTCCCACCTCTGTAGGAGAAATACTATGATTCTTCCCCATCCATTGATGCTGGGCTTGGCCAATGAAATGTGAGCAGGAGTAACACAGCAGAGGCTCAAAATATGCCTGTGTGGTTTGGCTTGGTCTCTTGAACCCCTGCCACATGCTCTAGGCAAAAACATGCTTTGGCCTGGGTCCCTGAGACAAGAACAGACTCACAGTCCCAAATGAGAAAATCTGAACACAAGCCCCAGGCTGAAGCAGAGCCATGGCAGACCCAGGGACCAATGAGCAACATGAAATATTTGCTATTGTAAGCCCCCTAGATCTTGGAGTTTTCCGTTTCAGCATCATTGCTGCAAAAGCTACCAGAGAGACAGAGTCCCCAAGGGGAGGGACCCTGAGTGTACACACAGGCTCTGCCCCTGTGGCTCTGCCCCCTGCCCCCACACCATTTGCTCTACACAAACATCCCCATCACCTACAAACTCCACACTGATCTCCCAAAACGTGGAAGTCAAAGGACTGGAGCTTAAATGGAGATGCTTGGGATGCTTGAGTCTCATTCTTAGAAGAGAAGAGGGCTGGGGCACCTGGGTGGCTCAGCTGGTTAAGCATCAGACTTCAGCTCAGCTCAGGTCATGATCTGAGTTCAAGCCCCATGTTGGGCTCTGTGCTGACAGCCCAGAGCCTGGAGCCTGCTTCAGATTCTATATCTCCCTCTCTCTCTGTCTCTCTCCTGCTCATGCTCTGTCTCCTCTGTCTCAAAAGTAAATAAACTCTAAAAAAAATTTTGGGGGATGCCTGGGTGGCTCAGTCAGTTAAGCATCTGACTTCGGCTTCGGTCATGATCTCACGGTTCGTGGGTTCGAGCCTCTCATCGGGCTCTGTGCTGACAGCCAGCTCAGAGCCTGGAGCCTGTTTCAGATTCTGTATCTCCCTCTCTCTCTGACCCTCCCCTGATCACACTGTCTCTCTCTCTCTCTCTCTCTCTCTCTCTCAGAAATAAATAAAACATTAAAAAATTTTTAATATAAATAAATAAATAGATTTTTTTAAAAAAGAAAACATGGGGGCTATGTCTTGTAGGGGAGTCCTGGCTTAGGCTAAGTGCTAAGTTTAGGCAGGAGAAAGCTTAGCCCGCCTACAGCCCTCACCACCTCGCCCAGTCCAGACCCCATCTCTCACCATGTGGCCTTCTCTCGCAGCCGCATAGCACACACGGCTTCCACCGAAGAATGCCCCGTTAGCAGAGCCAAATGTCGAGAGTACGACAGCCAAGGGTACCAGCCAGGCCCAGGCCCCCAGCACCTGGTTCCTAGGACGACATAGGGATCAAGGGAAGGAACTCCAGCAGCAAACTGGAAGATAACAGCAAGGAAACAGAGCAAACAAAACAACTGGAGGCAAATTGAAATACACACAGGACACGATCCTTCCCCAAACTGAATTGTCTGCCCACTGGCCAAGGAACACATGCCTGGACTCACTTACCCCCAGCTCACAGCCATAGCATCAGAGGAAAGGATCTCAGTGGGTGACAACACTAGCAGGTAGCTGATGTTGACCAGGAGGTACAGGCTGGTGACCAAGGGGATGGCGATCATCACTGCCCACACCAGGTTCTGCTGTAGAGTCCAGGAGAAGAAGCCACGTGTTAGTAGGCGAGTTCCTTCTCAGGCCCCCGGAACAAGCTCACCAGTGCAGTGCTGAGCTCATCCTGGCCACAGGGGACATACCAGGCCCTGAGGGCCACACAGGCTGTGTGCCCCTTGTCCATGTGCTCACAGTCCATGCCATGGACCCACAAACAACAGATGTGCTATGTGGGGAACTAACCAGTCTGAGCAGTGGAGGTACAGAGGGCCTGAGAGGAGTGGAGGCGACCATGAGAGCAGAGGCACAGAGAAGGGACAAGAAAGTTAAAGATCTTCATTCTTGGCTGTTTATCAACCTTTCCAGCTGTAATATTCCAAGACCACCATGCCAACCCTGCCTAGTTTCTGGGTCTCCAGGACTCAGGCCCACCCAGGCTGAACCTCCTCCAGAGGTTCCACTCTGACCCTCAGGCTCCTCAACTGGAAATTGGGGGTCATTGGGGATCTGTAAATGGGACTGGCCACTGCTCTGGCTCCCTGCAAGGTGTGAGAGTCAGCACCGAGGAAGGAAAAGGAAGGGCCTGGACACAGGGGCTGTGGGCACTCAGAGCAGCTTGTCCTGTGGAGGCTCGGTGCCAATCTGACATATGGTCTTTCAATAAAGGTACTGAGTAGGCGTCCAATAAAAACGGAGGAATAAATGAAAACCAGGTAAATCATAGTGTACTCCCTCCCACTTCATGCCCCTCAACCTTGGACATCATTCTGGAGCCAGGACCAAATGGAAGGAAGGGGTCTCTCTCAGGACCCACAGAGCTCTATTCAACATTCCCCAAGGGAACGCCTGGATGGCCCAGTCGGTTAAGCATACAACTTCAGCTCAGGTCATGATCTTGCGGTTTGTGAGTTCAAGCCCCGCATTGGGCTCTGTGCTGACAGCTGTGAGCCTGAAGCCTGCTTCAGATTCTGTGTCTCCTTCTCTCTCTGCTCCTCCCCTGCTCATATATTCTATCTCTCTCTCTCTCTCTCAAAAGTAAGTAAACCTTAAAAAAATTTTTTTTTTAATTTCCCAGGCGTTGGCCACCCTGGATAGACATCTACACCTTGAAGTAGGAAGTGCATGTCCAGGACACTCCCAGCCTCATGGAGGGCTTTCTCTAGGCGTCCTTTGGCTTACCTTGTGAGGGGCAGGCAAGCACTGATGAGACCAGAGCCTCCCTCCTCGGTACCAAACGGGACACCAGAACCTGGTATTGCTGCCACTGACCTTACAGTGTAACATGAAATGAGAAGAGGTCATTCTGTACCAAGAGGCAGGGAGGTCTTGCCAGACTTGGTACAGAGCTTTCCGCGGGAGGGCTATGCCACAGTCCCACACAGACCTCCTTGCCCACCACTAGGTAGAACCCTCCCCCATTTAAGTGTCTGCCCCTGGTTAGCATATCTTCTCTTCTTCAACATTACATAAAAAGCAATTTTCAAGAGTATCTGGGTGGCTCAGTCAATTAAGTGTCCAACTATTGATCTCGGCTCAGGTCATGATCTCATGGTTTGTAAGTACAATCCCGCATCAGGCTCTGTGCTAACAGTGCCTAGCCTGCTTAGGATTCTCTCTCTCCCTTTCTCTCTGCCCCTCCCCCACCCATTCTTACTCTTTCTCAAAAATAAATAACTATTTTTAAAAAAAGGCAATTTCCAGAGTTTTCTGCCAGGGCTGAGATCTGCCACAGAAAACTCTGGAGGCAAGCACGGGAAGAAGGGCATAGGGGCACTGAGGTCAGAGTATTGATCTCAGGGCCTGTCCCCTTACCTCGCTCAAACTTTCTTGAGACACAGACGTGCCCTGTTCTTCCTGGCCTCGGCGTTCCTGTTCACGCTGCTTCTACATGGCTATTTTGCCACAAACCACATCAGCCCTTCAAGGCTCAATTCCAACCCTCCTCTCACAGAACTCTTGCCGGACTGCTCTGCCTCATGAGTTCCAGCAGCAAGTGGAGGCAGCACCCCAGCAACCTTTATTATATCCAAGTCTCTGTCCCATCCTGTCCTGTCTTCTAAGGGCAGGGGCCGGGGAGAGTGACCAATTGGTCCCAGCTTGCCTGAGACTTCCCTGCTTTTAACACCAGAAGTCCAGCATCCCTGGAAGTCTTCAGTCCTGGACAACCTGGTCAGCAGACCTAGCAGGTCACGTGACAGATGCGTGCAAGTAAAGTCACTAGGACAGCAATGGGTCCTCTCAGGTCTCCTCTAGCTCTCATATCTGGGGATGGAGGCCCCAACCATCGCTTCAGCATGGCAGCTAAGTCCTCATCTTCCCAGTTCTGAAAGTGTGTTCTGCCTGGGCCGAGAAGAGGCCACTTGTAGCAAAGATGGGCAATGGAGCAGAGTCCCAGGTTCCCCCTATGGCAGGCCTCACGGTGGGGTGCCCTCAGCAGGTGAGCACCCACCCTGCATGGCCCAGCCACATGCCAAGTCACAGGGGAGGGATATGACATGCTTTTGAATTTGACTCATCTTGGACAGCCCACAGGCCAGCTAATGAGCTATGACAGCCCCACGTTGCACCCGGAGAACACTGAGATTTCCTGGCTTCCTTCTCGAATGACTTAATTCTTCACACAAATTTCAGGGCGCATGAGCATAAGGCTGGACCAGGGTTGGCATAGGTTCTACAGTTTCTTGAAAAAGAGTGTGAAACAAAGATACACTTAACATGGGCTTCAGAGAGCAGAGTTAGAGCCAGAATTTCAATTGCCCATCATTCAGAGGCATGGCTTTGTTTTTGCTCTGAAACCCACATTTGTCAAATATGCAGGGGTGCCTGGATGGCTCAGTTGGTTAAGTGTCTGCCTTCGGCTCAGGTCATGATCTCAAGGCTGGTGAGTTCAAGCCCCTTGTCAGACTCTGTGCTGACAGCTCAGAACCTGGAGCCTGCTTCAGATTCTGTGTCTCCCTCTCTCTCTGCCCCTCCTCCCTTTGCAGACTGTCTCTCTCTCTCTCCCAAATATAAATGAACATGAAAAAATGTAGAGGTCAGCAAATTACAGCCTGTGGACCAAATCCAGCTCACTGCTTGTTTCTGCAAATAAATTTTTATGGGGGCACAGCCACCCTCATTTGTTTACCCATGGCTATTTGCACGCTACAGCAGAGTTGAGTAGTCATGACAGAAGACTCATGGCCAGCAAAACCTAAAATATTAGCTCTTTGATACTTTACAGAAAAAAATGTGCTAATCTATGCTCTATGGCATGGGAGCTTGTCTCACTTGCCTTTGGGCCCCTTGCTCTTTCCCTGGACCAGCTCCAAGCCCAGAACCTGGATTCAGAGAGAGAGAAGCCTAGCCCTGTGAACTAAATGAGCCAGTGCCCCTGCCCTGCAGCCCCAGCCCCCACCCCAGAGCCACCATGAATGCACACTAACATTTACCTGAAATTACAGCTGTTTATGGCACTCCATCCACAAGTGATTATGCCATTGATACCTTCAAGCCCCATGCGGTAGATGGGTCAGCTATTATCCCATTTCATAGCGAGGAACTAAAGCACGAGGAATTACCTGCAAGAATAGAATCTAGGTCCCAGGACTCCTGGCTCTCACCCCAGTCTCTCTGTGCTCTTGGACTTTAGTCTCCATGCTCCTCTTCTCCTCCCAAATTCTCCCAAACCCATCTCTAGGGAGCCTCTGCTGAGAGGTGAGACATGTAATGGCCCTTGAGCCAGCCCCAAAGATGTAGAGGAAAAGACTCAGTTCTCATCCTCTGAAAATTAAAGACTTCTGCAGGCAAAAAGAAAACAAACAGCAACCTAAGCAAATATATTTATAGCAAAGAGTTAATTTCCATAGTAACTGAAGAGTCCAAATGTTCCAACTATCAAGACAGATAACAAGCTGAGTCATCAAGCATGGCCTCTTGCTAGTGGAATGACCTCAAAATCACTTCCCCCTTTCTAAGCCTCAGTTTTCCCATGTGAAAAATGGTGTCGATAGTACTGACCTCACAGGGCAAATGAGACCACGAGTGTGATCCTATAAAGTTCTGTGCTCACTTGGGAAGTTATTATTCATATAATTCCATAAAGCAATTAAGGTAGACAATGGGCTGGCATTCATGACTTCAAAAAGAGAACCCCCATTTTCAGCTGCTTTTGCATTAGTCAGTTCAAATAACAATAACTGGAATAGCTAATGTTTGGTGATTTCACCCTCTGAAGAAGTATGATGGACTCACCTTTGGGTTCTTGAGTTCTTCCACCACATAGTTGACATTATTCCAGCCATCAAAGGACCACATGCCCTGGTAGATGGCCATGCCAATGCGCCCAGACTGATGTGTTGTGTTGTGGAAGGCAAACAGAAAGGCTTCCGTGTGGCCATGGCCCTGGCTCAACACCACAGCCCCACCCACCACGATGATTAGCAACGAGAACACTTTGGCGACCGTGCACACGTTCATCAGCATGGTGGTCAGCCGTGAGCTCCAGCAGTTGACCAGCATCAGCAGCAGGATGCAGGTGGCAGCCACACCCTTGAGCACAGCCTGGGGCATCGAGGAGCAGCCAGAGTAAAAGGGGGCCACTGCATACTCAGCAAGGCTCAGGGAGACAGCAGCAATAGCCGCTGGTCTGACCAGCAACACAAACGTATAGATGACCAGGAAGGCTGGCAAGGAGCCAAAGATTTGCAGGATGTAGGCATACTCCCCTCCGGATTTGGGAACCAGGGCACCCAGCTCAGCATAGCACAGGGCACCCATCACGGCCAGGAGGCCACAGGCTGCCCACACCACAAGACTGGCTCCAGAGCTGCCCATGTAGACCAGGACCCCCTGTGGCGACATGAAAATGCCAGAGCCAATCATACAGCCAGCCATCAGGGACACGGCACTCCACAAGCCAATCTCCCTTCTCAGTTGTAGCCCCCCCACACCGGGCTCCCGTCTTGCCATCCCCTCACCGCCATCTCTTTCCTGACTTCTCTCCATCTCAGGACTTCAATAGTTGCTGTGTCTAGCTGAGCAGAAGCAGATGCTCTCATACCTATGTCTTGTGGGCTTCCACAGGAGTTAATGATTACAGCACTTGAGGAAGTCTGAACCAGAGACCAGACAGCCAGGGCATGGCATTCAGAAGGGACAGAGCCTTCGCTGATCGACCAGTCCCTGTCTGACTCAAACTCCAGTACAGGCAGTTTGCAGGAGCTGTTTTCCAGTGTGACCTAGGAAAGATCAAGGGAAACGGGATTTTAGTAGAAATCCCTGCTGCCCAATTCCACAGCACTATGTGAGGAATAACAGTTGGATGAGTGCTCTGTGCCAACAGTAAGAATACTGAGAAACTGCATATTAGGAACCAAAAAAAAAAAAAAAAAATCTCTGCAATAGTTTTATCAGCCAAGCAATAAAACTCCTGTTTTATTAGGATTCCAATTAAAATTGCATGAGCCCTACTTTAAGGAAGAATCAAAACAACCAAAGAAGATTCAAATAGTTAAGAACAGAGCTTGTACCCCTACAAGGAAGGGATCAGGTGGTTAGAAGCACAGTACAAGGTCTGCATTCAAATCCCAGGTTTAGTCCCTCATAGTCGTGTGATCTCAGACAAGATCTCTGAACCTCACCCTACTCATCTGTCAGTTAATTACAATACCCACCACACAGGGTTACTCTAAAGATAGCATATAGTCCAATCAAAGTAGCTAGAATAGTAGGTGAAACGTAGTCGACTTTCCTTAAACATTAGCCAACACTATCTGGCTAAGAATTTCATTAGTTCTCTAGTTTCAGATATATATATATATATATGAATATTATATACGTATACATATTTTAATATATATTTCATTGATTTATAAATAATGTTCATTTTAGAATATAGCGTATAACTGGGGCGCCTGGGTGGCTTAGTCGGTTAAGCGTCCGACTTTCGCTTAGGTCATGATCTCGTGGTTCGTGGGTTCGAGCCCCGTGTCGGGCTCTGTGCTGACTGCCGGCTCAGAGCCTGGAGCCTGTTTCAGTCTGTGACTCCCTCTCTCTCTGACCCTCCCCTGCTCATCCTGTCTCTCTCTCTCTATCTCCTAGAAATTAAAAAAAAAAAAAAAAAACTTAAAAAAAAAAAAAGAATATAGCGTATAACTTTTTTGTTAACCCTCTCTTATATATTTTTTTTATTTTTGATAGATAGTGTGCATCAGCGGGAGAGAGGGGCAAAAGGAGAGAGAGAGAGAGAAAGAGAGAGAGAGGGAATCTTAAGCAGGCTCCATGTTCAATGGAGAGCCTGACACAGGGCTTGATCCCACAAACCCAGGATCATGACTTGAGCCAAAATCAAGAACCAGATGTTCAACCAATTGATCCACCTAGGCACCCCTTTCCCTTATACTTTTAAATTCTTGGGTTCTAGAACCTTTACTAGTATTGTTATAGAAAGGTCAGTGGAACTCACTAGCATTTAGAGTAAAGATGCTGACACCCAAAGTGGGCAGAAAGACACCTGTGATCTCCCAGACAGGCTGACCTAGCTCAAGTCAGCCATAATGGCTACCTGGATCTCTTGTGCATGTGTATTAATAAAGCTCTTGACAGATACATGGGCTTTACTGTCATTGGTTCCTGGGGTGTCCATCTTACCTCCTCCCTTTGCTTCATGGAAGCGAGGTCCTCATTGACACAGGTCCTCAGAAAAGGTAGGGCCATCTTCTTCAGAAAACCCCTGAAAAGGGGGCCCTCCAAAATTCAGAAGAAGGTCTTCCAAGATTCTTACCCAGTATAAAGAGAGAGAAAAGGGCAGAGAAGTAATTAAGGAAAAAAAAAAGGAGCTAAAAGAATTGGAGGGAATGAAGATAAAAAAAGATAGAGTCCTAGAAGCTCAGGAAAGAAAATTAGCTTCCTTCCTGGCCATAGCTAAGTAGTAACTAAGTCACTTAAATGTCAACCCTCTTCTTCTCCAGGGGGCTGCTGCTAGTGGATGCCAACTGCAATGTCTGAGAACAGTCCACAAGACCACCCTGATCTCTAACACTAATGGCAAGTTTGGAGGGTTCCAAAACTATCCTTATGGTCAATAATTTGCTATAAAAACTCACAGAACACACTGAAAGCTTTTACACTCAAGTTATGTTTTATTACACTTAAAGGTCCAGATTCAGGTCACTCAAGAGAGAAAAGACATAGGGCAGAATCCAACAGAATTCCAAACACAGAGCTTTCAGTTCTCTTCTCCCCGAGGAATCAGGACAGCATTATTCTCCAGGCAACAATGTGCGACAATAAGCGCATCATATTGCCAACCAAGGAAGCTCATCCGAGCCTTGGTGTCCACTCTTTAATGGGGTTCTATCACATAGACATGGTTGACTGCTCATGTGGCTGACTTCCATTTCCAGCCCCTCAGGAGATCAAGCTGATATTTTATGACCCAAAGCCTCTATCCAAAAATCACATTGTTACTATCTGGCTGGCCCAAGTCTCCCCAGGCAAATAAAGATACTGCAATCAAGCATGACATGCCAAGGGCTTAGAGATTACCTCCCAGAAGCTGAGGGCAAGGGCCAGACCTCTCCTTGGGCAACGTTAAATTCTTTACTACAGCGAAGTTACCTGTGAGTTGAAGACCATTCGGAGAACAGAAAGATTGTTTTGAAAGACTCATCTTGTCAAGTAGTGTGTCTACAGAGGAGAACCCTAAATGCCAGGCTAAGGAGCTGAGACCAGCCAGAAATGGGAAAGAAGATGATGAGTAGAAGTGAGTAGGAAGGCTCTTCCTGAATGGGAAGAACTAAAGACTCTGAGGTTCTTTGGGCTTCAATTAGCAACTCCCACTGCCCTCCCAGAATCTGACAAGTGTGGTCTTCAGGTCCAGCATCAGGCCTGCCTGTGAGGAAGAAACATCTGAAACAGAGTTGAGCCTATATGGCATTCCTGTGCTGCCATCACAAGTGATGGGGTAACTGATGGACCCAGTCTGAGGCTCAGCCAAATGGATGCCTTAGTTAGAAATTCAGCACCCAAGGACCAAATAGCCCTGTTTTTACATCACTGTGCATTCAATGGGATCTTTACTAGTTCCATTTCCCATCAGGAAAATGATGGGGCGCCTGGGTGGCTTAGTCGGTTAAGCGTCCGACTTTCGCTTAGGTCATGATCTCACAGTTCGTGGGTTCGAGCCCCGCGTCGGGCTCTGTGCTGACTGCCAGCTCGGAGCCTGGAGCCTGTTTCAGAGTCTGTGACTCCCTCTCTCTCTGACCCTACCCTGCTCACGCTGTCTCTCTCTCTCTCTCTCTCCTAGAAATAAATAAAACATTAAAAAAAAAAAAGTTATCAGCTGCAGATTATACAAATGTCCACCTAGAAAAGCCAAGAGAATCAACTGAAAAAAAACCATTAGAACAAAAAAGTAGGTGATAAAATTATTTCAGAAAACTCAACAACTTTTTTTTTTAGTTTTATTTATTTAAGTAATCTCTATACTCCACATAGGCCTTGAACTCACGACCCTGAGATTAAAAGTCATGTGTTCCGGGGCACCTGGGTGGCTCAGTCAGTTGAGCGTCTGACTTCAGCTCAGGTCATGATTTCACGGTTTGTGAGTTCGAGCCCCGCATCAGGCTCTGTGATGAGAGCTCAGAGCCTGGAGCCTGCTTCAGATTCGGTGTCTCCCTCTCTCTCTGCCCCTCCCCCACTCATGCTCTCTTTTTCTCTCCCTCTCTCTCTCTGTCTCTCTGTCTCACAAAAATAAATAAATGTAAAAAAATTTTTTTAAGTCACATGTTCTTTCAATTGAGTCAGCCAGGCGCCGTACAAAAATCTTAAAAACCATACCAGCAATAACAGATGAGAAGATGTAAGAGGAAGTATTCCATTCATGATGGCAACAAAATCTATAATATATCTAAAAATAAACTTAGGAGGAAATGGGCAAGATTTTCACTGAAGGGCATAAAAGAGCTGAATAAATAAAGACATACACCAGGCTCCTAAGTGAGAAGTTTCAATATTGGAAATATGTCAGTTCTCTATAAATTGATTCTGACTCCAGCCAAAATCCATGTCTGTTTGGTTTTTTTTTTTTAACTTAAATCTAAAGTTAATCCAAAGACTTCATGCCCAAGAAGAGCCAAGAAAATTTTTTTAATGAAAAATAATGAGATGAGGATTTGCCTTACCAGATATCAAAACAACTCAAAGGTGTAATTCTTAAGATAGGTACTGGCACAGGAAAAGACAAACAGATCGATAGAACAGAGTTTATAAATGAGCTTTCTTAATAGAGATAGGCAGAGATACATGTACATACATACATGTATAAATGAATTTACTTTATATGTGAGTTTATTCTATGATAAGGATATAAATCTTATAAAGAAAAAAAACCCACGATAGGATACATAGCTAACTGCTGATAGGATTACCTCCAGGAAACATGATGCAATGATAGGAAGTACTTTATGTATTTATACTTCTTTTTTTTAATTTTTTTTTAATTTTTATTTATTTCTAGGAGAGAG